GAGCGCGGAGCGGAGCGTTTGCTGCGCAAGTTTTGAAAAAGCTGTTCGCTCATGGCGCGAGTTATGTGTGACGAGATGGCGACCGAAAAATCTGTGGCGAATGCGAATCTACATTATCTGACTGTCAATTTGCCAATCTTATTATTCAATTATTTTCACTTTTTCATTCACGTTCATTTACTTCTTAAATTCAATTGTGTATCAATTTCGTCTGTTAATTCGTTTAACGAGTACTTGTTCTCTCGCGATTGAAAATCTGCTTTGGAGTACCCGTGCCATGGGGGCCTCATCTTGATCGGAGCCGAGCGACAGCCTTGCTGCAGACGCACAGCGACGCGCTCGTGATGTACGTTCAGGACGGCGCTGGCGTTCGTTCATCGAGCGTCCGCACTCGACGCGCGCGTCGGCCTCTCTGAGACACGCTCTTGACTGGCCACGCGGTGGCTGCCAGCTAGAGATGCAGCAAGTTTAGTTAATAGCCGTCACCTGCGCGAGTCGTGTTTTCTGGAAGCATGCACGCTCTGCCATTCTTAGTTTGCACCCCCCTACCATCGCTCAGTGTTTAAATGTGTTTTTTATATGCATTTTGGGCTTATCTGGCATGGCTACGGTAAATGGAACAGCCTAGTCAGACAGGCGCGTGTCTGCAAGGTGTCGCGTAGTTTGTCTGCCCTAATCATCTCATTTTAACAGTGGGTCGATGAGTGAGCACCTGAGAATAGGTTCCACCATTGCCTTGCCATCCAACAAACCCGACTTTTTACAGAAATTTCGAGGAGACGGAATCATAGCACAGTGTCGCGCCTGTACTTGTGAAGTCAAAACTCCGTGTGTATCCATGGCTATTGCATGGTTATGCCAAGACAGGACTCAAGTTGGGGCCACGGAGAAGGTGTGACTGCAGAGGGGCGTATTATAGTCTTCTCAAAAGCCACAATGTGCTGATGCGGGTGCAGTTGAAGTCTACACCCAATATATAAGTCTTTCTCGCAGGGGCAGATAGGGAGAATTGTCTGTCTTACGCGAGAAGTGAGATTTAGGATTATTGAATTGAAGCACAATGTGCCTTTGAGGGGCGGCAGACCATGCAAGATGAATCTTCAGAAGATGTTTCTAGACTCACAAATTAGCCAAAAAGTATGATTGCAAACGTACAAAAAAACATTGCGCAAATTCTGGGTACCTGCTGTTTTAATAATGGGTATTATTTACTATATCAGTAACGTTAACTGTGTACGCTCTCTGAAAAGTCATGAAAAGTGTTTTGAATCCTAACTTGTAGGGTTGAGTCAAGGGTTGAGATAGTGTCATCAGACATGAGAATATGGCCCACAGTTTGCCTCAGATTGCAAGAAAATGGCTTAAATATTTCAAAATTTTCTGGGGGGCATTCCCCCATACCCCCCCTAGCACTGGCATGCTTACGGCACGCGGGCCTGCCTGCGGCAGCCAAGGTTAATTTCGCCCCCCCCCTGTCCATCAATTTCATTCCGCATTTGGAGTTCACAGGGTTGGAGACCCTGAGTCCACAGTGTAGTAAACTAAAAGGCAAGTTGCCAGTTGAGTGCGGAATTAGCTGCAAGTAACATGAAATCGTTTCTCATTGGTGACCGTGGGTCTGGTCTGAGCAAGCGTCTCAGATTTCGACCAATCGACATGACTATATGATCCACACATGGTTAGACTGGTGTTCGTATGACGGCTCCACTCGCAATTTTATGAGACGCTACTACGTTGCTACCGATGTGTACCTGACTACCAGTCTGTCTCTCTGCTGTCAAAGTGGAGAGTCGTAGTTACCAAGGAGCTACATATAACAACAATGTGGCGTTTCCTTAATTGTGAGCCCGCGGCAAAGAAGCATAAACAGTCATTCGACAAGAGGAAGGAAAAACAGAGGGATTATGAGAAAAATAGGAGGTCAATCAGATCATCAGATGACATGAGCAGTGATGATGAATCAGCAGATGATTTTGAAATGGACATTGATAATGACTAATAAACACAAGGAAGAACATGATATGCTGTTTTATTACTGTAATTTGCTCCAAAATTGGCGGGCCTACAGCTTTTCTGGCGGGCCTGCAGCTTTTAGGAGCTATAGGCCCTGCAGGCCTACAGCTTTTTCTGCTCAGTGGCAAACACTGGTTAGGGAGTAGGCGTAGGCGACTCCCTAGACTCGTTAGTGGAGTAGGCGAGGTACGGTCCGGCATATTAGATAGTACCAGCCACCAGGGTACGTTCCGGCAGTACCCTGGGGGACATGGACCCTCTCAGCGTCACTGCGAGTCTACGACTACGTTGTTGAATAAGCGTTTGCCTGGCCCCTGCCTTTGCAAATGAACTGGTAGTGTCTAGTGATGAGTTGAGTGACTTTGTAGAAGTTTATTTGAACTTATTTCAAAGATAATGATTTTAAGTGCTGTAACTGTGAGTGTGAGTCACAGATTCTCATGATTTGATTTTTTAAATTTGCAGATGGATGTCGATCAGTCTCCACCACAAAACCAGCGTGGTGAGGGCATGCAACAGTATTATGTGACAAAGATAGAAGAACTACAGGTGAGAGTAATATTATTCTTATAGATCTTCAAGAAAGATTGTCATATTGATATTGATAATGCATGTGAAAAATCAACGTAAGGCCATGAGAATGAAAGTTTTAGATTTGCGTCCACCGCTCGCATGCTCCAAAACCTCATGCCGAAAAAGTTGATTATGTAAAAAAAATTCATTATTTACATAAAAAAGGTTCTCCATCACAAAAACTCCAAAAACAAACAAAAAACAAAGTTCCAAATCATCAAACAGCTGTGAAAGGCTATAATTACACATAATACAATTACATACTAGTACGCGCATGCAGTTACCGCCAACAAGCTTCGATCTTCACACAGCGATTGAGTTGTACAGGGTGTGTCGATGGAAGAGGAC